ATGTATATGTGATCTTATCACTTTTGCTAGATCAGTAAAAGCATCTGGCATTCTTTGAGCAATGCTCTGAAGATCTATAATTCGTTGCCCCTCAGTTTCAGATTGGGCAATGCGGGGATCTAAATGAGACATAGTGGGAGCATACCACAACAATTCGTGGCGTTCTCCAGGAACGTTAGCATGCTTATCTCCCCTTAATGACAGGAAAACTGTCTCATCAAAGTGACAATCCGCAAAACGTGCGGTAGAGAGATCTTCTGTCAAGGGTTCTAAAAGCGAACAATTGATGGCGAATCATAATCGACATAGATTTTCATTTTTCTCTGATGACCTATTTTGGTACGTAGTGGTAGAGCTATTGGCAATAGATTGCGCACCCAAACACATATAAATGTGAGATGTTATGCTCATATCCAGTAACCAACTATAACAGTGAATGAGGTTGGGTAGCGGTGGGCCTCAGGAGGACTAACATAGCTGCATGTAATATTGCATAGCCCCAAGTATATACCAGCAGTTTGGTTCTCATAACCAAATTCTGAGTTATCAATTGAATGCGCTTTATGAAAGCTTTTGCCAAACCGTTTTGGGTGTGAACATAGGGTACAGGATGTTCCACTTCAATCCCTACTGACGTGCAATAATCGTCAAAAGTCTGTGACATAAACTCTCCAGCATTATCCAATCAAATCGACTTGATCGGATAATCAGGGTGATGAGCTCTTAGCTTAATAATTTGTGCTAGGAGTTTCGAAAATGCAGCGTTGCGTGTGGACAACAGACAAACATGTGACCATCGTGTCAATGCATCAACCAACATTATAAAATATCTAAATGGTCTGCATGTTGGTTGGATAGGTTCACAAATGTCCCCTTGAATCCTCTGAAGAAACTTATAAGGGTTATGAATAATCTTTGTAATAGAGGGTTGAGTATTCAACTTCCCTAAAGAGCACGCTTTGCATGGTGAGAATGGAGATAACTGATGCCTATGTGATGATTTGAAGATACAACGCATTATGTCACATCTGGGATGTCCCAAACAGTCATGCCAAAACAACAAAGTGCTTTTGAACTCAGCAGCCACATGGTGGGTTTCTATGCCACAAATGGTTGTTATGTACAACCCACTTGGGAGACGTTCCAACTTCTCGTGAATACGCTTCTGGCCATATTTGTACGAATTGATACAAAGAAATTCAGAACCATTATCTTCAGTGGTTTCTATATGATATTGATTATCTCGAATATCTCTAAAACTTAGCAACGCTCTTCCGGGACATGGAGAATAGAGGGCCTCTTTAATGGTTAAAATGATACCATTGGACAACATGATACGGGCCTTTCTCTATCCTTCAATTAGGTTGGATGGGCCTGAGAGAGTTGTTAGAGGTGCTTTCTTAGGTACAAAGTTAGTAAAATAGTGTTGCTCACGCAATATGGTGTGTGTGGTAGCACTATCAGCCATACAACTAACTTCCCTACTAGATATATACCTAGAAATAAATTGATTGAATTGTTCACATGTATAAATATAATTCCAGTCATTCAATTAATCAATTCGAGAAATAATATCCATAAAATAATAATCCATAATTCAAAACCAACCAAAACCAAACAAATTATTCCAAATACTTAGAAAAATTATCCAAAATTAAACCATAAACCTAGAAAAATAGGGGGGAGGGTCTGGCTACTCCTAGTGGGTGCGGCCACTATGGGTAAAACACTCAAAAACAAGTCTAAAATTTATTCGTCCATAGGAGCTAACGCCTCCTGAAAATCCGATATCTCCATGGATGTAGTAGCATTTTCCGGATGATCTACATGTGCAAAGTTAGACTCACGACGAGAATGATACTTGGTAATAACCTCGGGGGTAGCTCGACAAACACATATCCAATGATCCCTTGATCCACAACTGTAGCTCATGTCCATTTCAATGAAAGCCGATTGAGCGAGAGCTTTTCCCTTGTTCTTGAAGTTTGGGGCTTTAGGGGCAAGGGGTTGGCGCTGCTAGGTCACATTTCCTCCCTTGTGTAGGCCTTGACTCTGTGGACCTTGGGCCCGTGGTGGGGCTTGTCGCACATTTCCATGGCCACGACGATTGTTATGTCGTTTGTGGCTGCTAGAATTTGTCTCATGCGCTTTAGGGGCGACGTTCGAGCCAGTCGATCGAGCTTGATGATTCTTCATCAAAAGTTGGTTCTGTTTTTCAGGAAGTAAGACAGGGATCAAATCCCAAAATTTGGTAAACTTCTGTGCCCTATATTGTTGTTGCAGGACAATATTGGTGGCAGAAGGTCGAATAGGTCTTCTCCAGGAGATCTGATTCGATTAGTTCCACTTTACAGAACTTCAGTAGTGATCGGATTTTGCAAACTTCAGAGTTGTATTCATTCACGGACTTAAAGTCTTGGAAGCGAAGATACTGCCAGTCGTGTCTTGCTTCAGGCAAGTAGATGTCTTTTTGGTGATCGAAACGGTGGGCCAGAGCAAGCCAGAAGGTGTGTGGGTTCTCCTCAGCGAGATACTCAGTCTGCAGTGCATCATGGATGTATTTTTGAATGAAGATCATTGCATTAGCTTTATGAGCTTTGTTGACGGGTTTGTCGTCTGTAAGTGCCTTGATGGTGGCTCTAATACCCTTTGCAGTAAGATGAAGCTTCACGTCTTGAATCCATTTCAGGTAGTTTCTTCCAGATACTTCCAAAGCTTTGAAATCGAGCTTGTTCAAGTTCGACATGTCCTTAAAACGAAGGGTACAACAAAAACGTGGTTAGTCATATGGTAATCCATAGACATACATCGTAAAACATTTGGGTTCTATAGACATGTATTGGTTTAATTTATGCATGAAAGCTACATGTTTCATGTGGTATGTTTTGAATGAAAACTTCAGGTTTCAAAGGCACTAAATATGAAACTACAGGTTCAATTTAGTTTTATGAATGATTAGTTCATAAATGAGAGGTTCTCAAATTCTTTTGCTTCGGGACTACAAAAGTATGTCAACGGTTCAAAGTATAAAAATAAATTATTAAATCGTTAATGTTCAAAAGTGATCTTCAGGTCAATAATTTTGGATTCATTATCAGATTAATGGATTACAGGTCACTTTTAATTAATTCAATAGATCGGGACCAAACAGGGTCGATCGTGGAAGCAAAAGAATATGGGAAAAGAGCCTTGCAAATTCGGCTGCAGGCTTATTGGGCCTTGGTTAAAGTTGCAGGCCTCAGGCTGAGCGGGTTTGGGGAGCCCAACAGCCAAGGCTGCTGGCTTTGGGCCAAAACTAGGACACAAGTGCAGGCCCATCAAAACATGGCCTTTGGGTTGGTCCGCGGAAGCCTACCAGCAAAAACTACGGGTGAGTGGGTCGAAGATTGGGGCAAAGCTTAGTGAGCGATAAGCTGCTGCAGGGAGGCCTGTCATGGGCAAAAGGAAGCCCAATAGCTATGGGTTGCTGGAGTTGGGCCAGGGACTCGGGACAACGAGCCAAGAAGGCTGCAGGCTTTCTTGGTTGGGCTAAAGGACTTCATGAAGCTTATTGGGCCGAAAGCTTAGAGTCCGGGTTAGCGTAGCAAAGCGCAAAAGGCTGCTGCCGTGAGGTCCAAGGTGTCAAAACGACACCATGCCATGACGTGCTCCACGTGGCTGGGCTTCAGGCCAACAACGGTGGTTTGACGGCTGTGCCGCACAGTTCCCAATTTTTTTTTTTTTTCCGATTTGTCTAGGGTTTGAAAAACCCTAACATGCTTCTAATTTATTTATATGCTTTGACTCACAATTCCACATAGCAATATAATTGTGTAATGCATGAAACATATATATATATATATATATATATTTTGACAAATATATGAAACATATACAATATATATATATATATATATATATATATATATATATATTAGAAGGAAAATATAAACATAGAGGGTTCATGCATCATGGGGAATGTTTTCATGCTTCATGGTTGTTTCAAATATCTCCCCTTATTTTAAGCTTACCTGATTGGCAGAAAAGAAATAAGAGCCTTTGAATTTTGTAGAAGATTGTCTCCTACAATTCGTCAATTCCTCAGTTTCTGGCAATAGCGTGTTGATAGCGTGTTGTAAGCCTATTTAACTAAGCTATTCTAGGGGAATAGAGAGGGGGAGGCCGTCGGTAATGAGAGAGAGAAGAGAGATTTAATTGTAAGGGATGTGTTGTATCATCCCCATTATGGCTTTATTTATAGTAGGATAGGTAAAATCCATATCCTTTTAAGATTACAACTCTAATAGGAATTAGACTACTAAAAGGAATATAAAAGATATCCTTAGATACACTAGGATTTACACAATCACATTCCTATTCCAAATATGACTGCAACATATATCACATTAAATACCATATTATTTTTAGTCATTTAACATATTCAAAGCAATTTATATAAAAGTTTACCAAACACTAAGATAATGCTTCTTTTATTAAAAGCACTTAAAAAAAAAAATTTACCAAACACTTAACAACTTTATTTTACAGTTGTTTAGCCCTTAAAGATGATTTGTCTACTTCAACTTCAGAGTGGCCATTTTCATCCCCATTGATATTATATGATCACCTCACTCATCTTTTCAATATGATATACATGTGCTCCAATATTCTCGTAAATAAAGTTTTATGTTTCTACTTATGTATCTCGAGTTTGAAACTCCCACCTCCCGTAAGTTAATGTAATAGTTTAGTAATTACAGTCACACTGAGAAAAGCCCACATACTAGGATCAATTTGAGAACGGGGGTTGTAAAAATAGCTTCGGATTTTGACAAGTTTATACTGAAAACGAAAGGGTTTTCAAGGGATCCCTAAATAAACTCCCTAAATATGAAATCTTACACTCGAAACGAAGCCCAAGTTTCTTTGAAAATCAAGAAATTCTTCACTAATATGCAGGACTCACATATGAACTATTAGGCATGATTGGAAGAAAAATCTACGACTAAAGAAACAAATCATAAACATAAACGGTAAAAGACATAAGACTGCATCATTGTAATTCAAGCCAAGTAAAACTACATTTTCAATGTGCCTTGCCGATCTATTCATCGGAAAATGCATCTGGTGTGTGTCTATCAAACTATAAATGGATAGAATAATGATGGTATATCTCATCACTTCTCTAATGCTATATTTTGTAAAACAGGGGGAGCTATTTAAAGTTGTTTATGGTATGCAAGAAAGATTTCATATCGTCGTTAGCAGTTCAAACCCCAGTCATAAGGCTGGTATATCACCTTCAACTGAGAGTCGGCAAGAAATTCCAGTAAAGCTTCCGAGACAGCTGGATCGAGGTAGTTTGACGAGTGCTTCAGTACCTCTACGTCATTCTTACCAAAATCTATGCTAAACCTGAGCGTTAAAGAGTATTATTAGATGAGAGAAGTTAATTATTCGAAAGTTTCAGAACCCCAATTGAAAGACTTGAAGCATGTTCCTATTATTTGTTAAATATATGATAAATAAAAGACCTTTTTGCAGAACAACTTACCATTTAAGAATCTTGTTAGCTGATGCAACCTTGGAATCAAAATCGATAAAAAGACCTCCATTTCTTAAGAAATCACGGGCTGCTTCCATCAGCTCTTTATCAATGTCACCAGGAGAATAGCAGCGAAGAGCAGGGCCAGATCGAGTACCGCAAACCAGCGCAAAATGAATAAGAGGTTCTGGGTAAGGAAGAGCCACCTGTTACGGAAAGGTACAAAAATGAGGCAGAATAAATTGCCAACAGAGAGAATCAGTTCTTAAGAGATAAGAGTTGCTTAGCAGCAGAATGTAATTCTGGATTTTCATGACTTAAAAAGAATGTGTAGCATCTAACTCTTAACTCTCAAATCGAAAACCAGACAGGCAAGTTTTATAACATTATGGCCTAAAGAAATCTGAAATGCTACACTCCGGAATGCCAAATTTGTTTAATCATGTACACTACGCGAATACATAACCCTGTCTGTTAACAACTAAAACACACAATGACAGAAATTCACACACATGACAGATGCAGCCAAGAATAAGCGAGCCATGTCAATACTGAAGAAGAATATTATCATCTTACCGGCGAACGCTTATCTTTTGCACCAAATGGCTTCATGAGATTGTATGGTGGTCGCTGGTTTCCACGTAAAATACCATTTTGAATAGCTGAAAGTGAGTATGTGGACCCACCAACAACATAATTGAAGTCTCCAAACATCCTCTTTCGTTCTATTGCTCCGGCTGGATGACCCCATACCAATATCGCATGGATGGCCATCATATTGTAGAGATTTATAAAGAAAGCAAGTCTCTCCTCCCTCTTCATATCCTTCACTTCCACTCTTTGAAGCTCTTCTACTATTCTCATATATCTACAAAGATATTACCATTAACAATGCCTTAGATATAAGATACCAAAATACTTTTTTCCAGCTAGAAATCATTTGAGAGAAAGAGAAAAAAAAAGAGAAACCTTGCAAATTCCTCACTTCCATGGATACTTCTGTAATCAACATGCTTTCCATCCTCTGACACATAGGCCTCAAGAATTGCACAATATAAAAACCTCAACCTTGATGCAATTTCTAGGATGGGTTTTGGCTTTACATCAATTATACCCCTTGGAATGTTCTGACATTGAGATACAATTGGATCATCATCCAAGAACCGATACAAGTGGTTCCCATCCTCAAACAGGTTTTCCCTTGTGCAACATAAAAGCATTGTTGAGAACAAACAGAAGAAAATATGTCAACAATGGAATAATATATGTGACGCAAGTTGGTTTGACATGAAAACAAAAATTGACATTGTCCACTTACAGTTCACGCATTAATCGTTTAAGAAATATGTCTTCCGACCACTAACTCTAACTTTTAACATGACACTGAATCATGGGCAGCTGACAACTCATTTTCAAAAATCTCTTGTAAATCAAATGTAATTTGGCTTGAGTATTTTTCTTTGAACTTCTTTCCACTCAGAATTTCCTAGCAATAAAACAAAGTGAATGAGAATATAAAGACACTTCAAGGCAAACTTCGAGGGACTCACTCAAGAACATTCTGAAAAAAGAGTTTGCTTGCAAGCTTTCTCCCAAATTCAATAGCCTGCACCATAAAGAAATCGAAAGGTAAAAGGGAAAAGTCAATAACAATAAGATAAGGTGGCAATTTGTTTTGCATATATGGTAGATACAACACACTTCATGAAATCTTTTCATGCATATGAGATAATTTCCAAAAGAAGATTCACGGATCAAGACAAACAAATTTATAGTAAGGATGCCCGGTAACCTCTTAAGTAAAATGTAAATATAAACTAGCCTGTTGACAGGGGGAATTCCTATGACCACTCACAAAGTTCAACTTGCTTTCCACAATTTTAAAAAAGAAAAGAAAAATAAAAAAACAAACCTCTTCCCTTTCCAGATACTGATCCTCTGATAAGAAATCCACTGCTTCTGAACCTGAAAAACAGTTTGTGAACCTGCGCATTTTATGAAAACGGTCCTTCACATCAACAAATTCTTTCATTTTCCGGGCAAGTAAAGCTAGTTCATCAATAGCTCCACTGTTGGACAAATCGTCTTCACCCGAAAGTGGCGGCAAAGGAGCTTCTGATGACGGTGCTTCACTAATCAGATATTCAATCTTCTCATCAAGTTTTCCAGACTCGTCCAATCCCTTTAGCTCACTTAAGCCTCCAATCAGGATTTCATTGAAGAAAACCTTTGGAACAGCATAAGACCCAGCAAATTTCTCTAACTCAAGCTTTCTACTGGGATACACATCAATATTGATCTCAACATATGGGAGCTTCTTCCTGTGGAAAAATAACCTAGTCTCTTTGCAGTCCTGGCATCCTAATCTTGTGTACAGAATAATTCTTCCTTTTATGGCTATAGCTTGTGCTCGTCCTTCAGTGACTTCCTCCCTCTGTGCAGCTTTGTTTTCTGCATCACCATCTTCATCTCTTTTGCCAGAAAGGCGACGCAGAAATGTGGAGACCACAACTACACCCTTAACCTTAACAAGGTTTTTAAGTGCCACTGCCTTTTCAACTACCCCCTGGTTCTCTGAATCAAGATCTAAAGAACGAGTGGACATACTTCTGTTAGCTGCCATCCCGGGAATCTCGTTTCCATCAAACACCGGCTCTTGCTCTTCCTCCTCACCAAGAATTTCATCTGTGGTTTGATTTGTCTCCTGATTTTTGGACTCCAAATCCTTGCTTTCATCTGCCTTCCTACCCAAGCTACCATGTAAACCATCTTTGTGCAATTTTTCTTGTTGTTCTTTGGACTCCACCTTATGAGCAGAGTCCCTTTGTCCCTTATCGGAGTCTAATTCTTTGTCTTGAACTCTTGATTCCAAATCCCTACTCTCATCAATCTTCCCACCTATGTCACCGTGACTTGGGTTATTGTCCAAGTTTTTGCCCCCATCTTTAGACTTCACATCCTCGCTCCTGGCGGTCTTATCAATTAGTACATCTTCTCCACCATCATTGTCTAACTTGGGACCACCAGTGCTTGTACTCGGAGTTTTTGTCTCCTTTGATGGTTCACCCTGATCTTTCTGAAGAGCAAGTGTATCTTTGTCCAAATCTTGAGCATCCACAAGACTTGTGATATTTTCCTTAGGTGAAGCCTCCTTCTCCATCAGGCCGGGAAGAATGAATTTCAAGCACTAACTCATTATAACACAGCCCTTAATTTTTTAACTCTATAATTCAATGAATTTAAGCAGGATCCTGCAAGAGTTTAAACAAAAATTAAGAATGTCATAACTTGGAAAGCTATTAACAAAATAAAATGCAAAGCTGCTAAATGTTAGTTGATAGTAATTAACTAACAATATTGCAAGAAAACTATGGTTAAAAACAAGCCTAGCAAGATTGTTATTGGCAAATACCAATTAAAGTTTAAACAGACATAGTAATTTAATAAAATGTCACCAAGCGAAAGCTTTGTGTGTAGTTCCTAGTTGAAAACAATTACTAATCCCTATGCAACACTAGTTTATCCATTCAACTGAGAAGCACAGAAGGTAGTCTGTAGTCACGTTGATGGTATAATTACTGCCCAATAAACAGGTCAAAATCAAAGGTATGAATAGCTTCAGTGAGAAAAAAATTACAGTACCAATTTTGCAGTCCCAGAAAAAAGTACCAATTTTAACAATAACCAACAAAATAGCATTAAGCAAATGTGAATTTTCAACTATTTTGACCAAATAAATTACTTTCCAATTTCCATCCTAATTTCATCAATTTCTCAGTAAACGAAACACGCAAAAAAATATAATCAGCAGCCAATTCAACAATTAACAAACGAATTACAGAGAATCAACTAAAAATCAGCGTAAAGCGATGGAGAAACGAGAGAGAAATCTCACAGATCTGAGAGGGAGTGAGAGCGCGCGCGATTGGTTGGATTGGAGACAAACCGCTCAGAGAGAGAGATCTCAAAGGAGTTACAGTGAGGGGCAATAAACGTTTGGGTGAAAGTTACAGTTTTGATTTGGGGGTTTAGAGGGAGAAGATGATTGAAGTGAAACCGCGACTTTCAGAGGGAAAAGAGAGGAGAGCAGGAAGCGGGAAGTCCGTGGGCTGAAAACATGAAAGTTAAACACTCGGGGTTTTGGACTTTGAATATTCTTGTGGGCTTATTGGGTTGGGAATTTATTTTTAATAAAATTCTTATTCCAAAACCAAACTAATAATAATATGGTTCAAATTTATTTTTGACGAGACTTGAACCTAAAATGAAATACAAATAATTCTTCCTTTCTTTTGTCGAAATGATGTATTTTCTTAGTTTTGAATTTATTTCCTCAAGGATTATAAAACTTTAAACAAATTTTTCTGTCTCTGTTATTTTATATATATATTATCAAAGACTATTTTATTTTAAAGTTAAACAGTACAAAAATGTTTGATTAAAATAAAATATCCTACTTATTTTAAAATCAATGATATCCGAGCACAGTTTTTAAAAACAGTTTGTAACTTACTTTTAAAAGCTGTTTTAACAAAAAGCAGAATTGATTCTTTAATAAATATTTTTAATTCCTGTAATACGCTCATTAATTTAAAAAAATAACATTACTTATCCTTCTAAACACATTTTATCCTTGGAGAACAAAGCCTACCACTACAAACCCTAATCTCTTACACTACCATTGCCATTACCACCACCACACCACAATCGTGCCGCCACCACTACCACTACAACTGCCACTACCATTGTTGCTGCCACAGTCAACACCACCACCATAACACAATTGCACCATCACCGTTGTTGCCTCCTCTACCACCGTTGTTATCTCTGTAGCCCAACCACAGCACCCTTTTATTGCAATGTTAAAAAAGAGGTACAAGTTTGTTATGTGTTTCAAAGTTGAGGTGGTAAAATGTAGTTTACTATGTTATTTACTACAATAATAAATAAATAAACATTCGAGAAAGGGGACCCGTCACTAAAACCCTCTTTGTTCATTGCCTGAAAGGTGAAAAACCCTCCGTCGTTGCCAACTTGCCATTTCTTTTCCCACACTCCTTTCACCCGGACAAGCAAAACTAATTTGGTACAAAGTCCATGGAGGTTTCCACCGCCACCCTCCAACCGTCTTGTTCTTTCCCACTCAGAGCCCCTAGACCCGCCACCAGAGAACGCGTCTCTTCTCTCTCCTCCATCAGATCCTCCCCTAAATCTATCTCCCTATCTTATAGCATCACCAAAGGTACGCACTTTATACGTTCTTTTATTTGAAAATTACATGCTTAATTCTTCATTAGCGGGAATTTTTCATGAACGGGGTATCGGTTTGTGTAATAATTGTCGTTTTAATCCTTCATTTGGGGTCCCAAATTCACAATTTTTGTTTCTGGTATGAGGGGTTTTTGCTGAGTTGGAGTCACTCTGCAACAGATGGATGTTGTTTTCGATTTCTCATAAACTGGGTATTTTTAATTAGCACTAAGCATTCAAGTAATTGTCGTTCTGTGTTATCAAAGATTTTGTGTGTTTTCATTTGTCAAATTCGGAAGTGAGAAAAATATGTATATATAACTCGTGTCCTGAAAGCATCAAAGGAATTGGGAAATACCATGTTAGTTTTTAGGAGGAATTGTTGTTGTATCTGTGCTGAGGGTGTTTGTTGCTGTTTCGAAGTCGTTTTTTTAACAGATATCTGTTATCTACTGCCAGGTTGTGACTTAGTAGTTAGAGAACCAGTTAAGTTACGGTGGTCCTCTGTTGTTGCTGCTACGGTTGGTGATACAACTGCAGTGCCAAATAGTTGCTCTAGTGGAGAAGAGTTGCCCGTTTCTGATTCTTCTAATCCCATATCGGTGGAAGATCAGCCCAGTGGAAATGGTGAGAAAGGGGAAGAGAAAGGTGGGATTGGGGGATTGGATGACCACAAGATGACCCGAATATGTGACAAGCTTATTGAGGTTTTCTTGGTTGACAAGCCCACTCCAACTGACTGGAGAAGATTATTAGCTTTCAGTAAGGAATGGGACGATATCCGGCCTCATTTCTATACACGGTGTCAGGACCGTGCAGATGCTGAGGATGATCCTGGAATGAAGCATAAGCTACTGCGGCTTGGACGGAAATTGAAAGAGGTAGGTATTATGAACCCCTTAAGAATGATACTACCTAAATGTCCTTTATTCAGATGTTTTTTTAACCATGTCTGTATGTTAATTTTCCCATGGTACTATTGACAAATTCCTAATCCAATACAACTTCCCCTTCACGAATGAAAAATTTAGCTCTCGTCTTTCTTAAGACAATACTTGTTGGGAGTTAAGATTAAAGGATGTTTACAATTTCAGGACTAATCACTTGTAGTGATGAAATTTATGAGGAATCAATCTATTCGAGTTTGTTTTATTCAAGGGATGGTTAAATTTGTTTGAATGAAATTGACAGTGGGTTGCTACTCTTTCACAGATTGATGAAGATGTGCAAGGACACAATGAACTTCTTAAAGTCGTTAGAGGGGCTCAATCAGAAATTAGTGAAATTGTTTCCAGACGCCGCAAAGATTTCACTCAAGAATTTTTTGTGCATCTCCACACTGTTGCTGAATCCTATTACAACAATCCGACAGAGCAAACTGGTGAGACTATGTATCATTTAATTATTTGATTTTTTTTTCTGGAAATGTGAACTCTATTAACACATGTTGTGTCTACTTACGAAGCATAAGCATAAGTATCATTTAATCGCCATCTTCCTCCTTGCCTTCGTCCATCGTCTACTTAGTATATTGTTAGAAGGGACAAATACTTGTCCTATCTTCATTTATATGCATGACACACCTCTGTCCTAAGTTCTAATCAGCAGTGTGGCGCTGTGACAATTTATTTTTTGTATGACTAGCTTTGGCAAGTATTGGAAATATGTGCTTGGCTGCTGTGCAAGCATATGATTCTGCAACCGAAAGCATTGAAGCACTGAATGCGGCAGAGCTGAAATTTCAAGATATTATCGACTCTCCAACTGTTGATGCGGCTTGTAGGAAGATAGATCACTTGGCTGAGAAAAATCAACTCGACTCAGCATTGGTGATGATGATCACAAAAGCATGGTCAGCTGCCAAAGAGTCGAGCATGACGAAGGATGAGGTGAGATGATGGCTTGCCTCAGAAATATTTGGCTTTCTCCAATTATAATGCACTAACGTTACAAATTGTAGGTGTAAGGTAGATACAAGCATCATTTTGATTACTTAGTCAGAGAAGGGGGCCAACCTCTTTCATATACAACATGGATTCAGGCAATGCAATAAAGTTGGATTCTTGTGTAGATCTCGGCTATAGCTTTTGGCATTAGGGTCATTGATGGTCCTTTATTTATATGAACAGTTAACGGAGACATAGAGGCTGCTTAACAGAATTGTGTATCTGTGCCCCCCAACGGAAAGGAACCAAGAAAAACAGAAGAAGATAGACAATTTTTCATTTTTTTGGTGGTGTAATGCTTCTGCTAATTTTATTTCTTTGTTTGAATAGGTAAAGGACGTACTTTATCATTTGTACGTGACCAAGAGGTAATCTTCAGAGACTCATGCCAAAAGAAATTCGGATACTTAAGTATCTTCTCACAATTGAGGATCCTGAGGAGCGTCTGGCCGCCTTACACGATGCATTTACCCCAGGAGAGGAACTTGAAGGGACGGATGTAGATAACCTTTTCACGTATGCACCAGGAACTTAACTACTCTTACTCTTAAATTTGTAGTATCGTAAGAAGTTTAATGGCTGTCCTTGGATTTCAAATGCTCATCCATGCTCTCCTTTTTTCTCCTTGTTATATTTTGTCAGGACCCCGGTGCAGCTTCACACCTGGATGAAGGCTATTGTGGACGCTTACCATTTCAGCCAGGAAGGCACTCTAATAAGGGAAGCAAGAGACCTCATGAATCCAAAGATCATTCAAAAAATGGAGGAGCTGAAGAAGTTAGTTGAAAACAAGTTCCTGTGACAAAGATCAATTAACTCATCTCCTCGACCGACTATTTATCTCAGATCAACTTGGGATATTCAAAAGAACCTTATCCATATTCTGAAGTTTCCAGTGGCATGAGCTGCAACGCTTGGAACTTCAAACATCGAATTGATCTGTCGGGCTTATAGGTTTAAAAAATTTGAGTTATTTCTCGGATTTTTGTAGTCTGATGTACACCAATCCCTTTTTCATTGTAAACTACACAGCTTTGTAAAATTATTGGCTCGTAAGTTTGAAAATTAATCCATTGTAAGTCTCTCATCCTCTGTGTGTTGAAATAATTAACAGGAAACTTTACGCAATCTTGTTAATATACTTTCACTCGGTATCATATGTTGTCAGGCTATGAATTTAGACTTATTCACGTTGGCAACTTATGAGCCTGGACTTTTGTTTGGTCGAGTAAGTTGTGGCGTTTCAGAGTAAAATATTTCTCCTCCAAGGTTTGAGCTTGGCTCAAAAGTCGGGCCTTGGTATAACTGAAAAAATCCGGCCCATTACAGGCCCAGGAAACCACCGTTCATTTTATTATAGTTTCGTGTTTTTTTTTTTTTTTTTTTTTAATTCTTTCCCATTTGCCAAACGCCGAGTTGAGGCGTCGCCCTCTCATCAGTAATCAAATTATTACGATGAGATGGAAAAACATCCCAAAAGAATCGAGTCCACTTGAAATCACACATTTTTGCGCGCAATTTCAAGCCTCGATCGTATAGATTGCACGCTGACGATTCAGCCGCCGGTATGTTTTCTTACTGTTTTTTCCCCGCTAATTTTTCATGGATTTTCGATTGCTTGCTTGCTGCAAACAGTTTGGAATTAAGAGGAAAACAAATTTAATTTCTAGGTTACAACTTTTAGTTGAGATTTGAATTGGAATCTAATTTCTTTCTTACTTCTGTTCAATTATTCATTACTGTTCAATTTTCGATATAAGGAAATTAAAGTCTAACATGATCATCGGCAGATGAATCAATCAATTAAGTTGAATTGGTACTGAACGGATTTGGATTCTGCTGTTTTTTTTTTTTTTTTCAGCAAACAAACGGGCGTAGGTTGATTCGCTGTTTCGGAGGGATGAACCGGAAATCTAATTGTGCTATTTGTGAGAATTCAAATCTTGCTTCTATCTGTGCTGTTTGTGTGAATTACAGGTATGAAACCTGAACTAGATCGGGTGTTAAATTTATTGGTGATGTTATGAACCTATTCGAATTGTTATAGAGTCAATGAGTATAACAATTGTCTTTAATAACCAAAAAAGTTGTCTTTAATTATATGCGGGCGTGTTGTTTTCAGATTAAATGAGTATAACAATACTCTGAAGGCACTGAAGAGTCGTCGCGAGTCATTGTATTCAAGATTGACTGAAGTGCTTGTCGCAAAGGTGTGTATCTGTCTTGGAAGAGCCGACGTTTCCCCTTCTTTGTTTCATTTTGTATTCCTTTCACTCGAATGGACTATATTCCACTAGATAGAATGATCAGATAGAATCCTGTAAGTTAAGTAGATTGAAATGTTTTATCACACGATATTATCTTGTGTTCATGATATTATTTACACGGTATAATGTTTGCAAATGCCTGTGGAATTTGATGTGGTTGAAATTCGGAAGTGCTCCATAGGGTGTCTATTTTGTGCCAAGGGTAATATCACTAAAACGAAAATATATTGAGGATGCAAAGATGGGTTGTGGACTCTAAATAGGTTTCGACTCTTTTGAGGAGGAATTTGGTTTGTGACATGGAACTATTAAACTATTGCTTAAAATTGAAATGATGATTATTGTAATATAAGATTACTCATTCATCTTGATTAGTTAACTTAAGCTTGAATAAATCTTGGGTAACCCATATTTGAAATATGTCCATTGTGATAAAAAAAAAAAAAAAAAATCAGTGGGATGATCCACTTTGCTTCTTATGTGTGCATGGGTACGTCTTATCTTGTTCTTTAACCAATCAATATCACTTTTCCCATAAATTATAGCATATGCAATCATCAGAATTCTGTACAACTGATTTCCAGTTGAAGTATCATAATAGTTTATTTGTACTAATGCTTTACACATATGTCAGGGTAAGGCCGATGATCAAATAAATTGGAGAGTGCTTCAAAATGAGAAGCTTGTGAGGTTGAGGGAAAAACTCCGGCGTAATAAAGAACAGCTTGTGCAAGGTTGATGCCTATTGTCAAATATAATCTAGGTTGAAATCATTGATGTATTTATATGAACTTGTTAGACTGATTGAGATATTTACAGGGAAGGCTAAGATTGAGAAGGCGTCCCATGACCGTAAAGTCAAGGATGGGGTGCTTGAATCGGCCCTCTTTGCGGTACCTCATGTTTTTGAATAATTTTGTATTTAACGCCGTCATATGATCTTTCAGATATATATTGGCTTCTATATTTTCATATTTGCAGTTGGGAAAGAATCGTGCGGAACAACTGGATAAGTTCTATCCCAACCTTATATGCACTCAGAACTTAGGGCATGTAAGGCATATTTATACTCCTTATATAGATACGTTATTAATCCTTACTAGTTAATGGAAGTTAGTATAGCTTCATTGTACAAGAATGCGTGATGATAACTATGTTTTTACTTTGATCTATTTCACTTTGAAGTGCTGCTATCTTGATGGGTTTGAGATCTATCTCTGCCATGTATTTTTTTTTTCCTTCTCTTCTTGTCATTTTTCTTATTTGATAAAAAATTGATGGTTGATGTGCTTTGAATTGCAGATGGCCATTACCTCTGAACGCCTTCATAAACAGTCAGTAGTTATAAAACAAATATGCAAATTGTTTCCCCAACGTCGGGTAAGCACTTTAAAACAAATATGCATATTTCTTGACAAATATGCAAATTGTTTCCCAGACCCTGCGTAAAGCGGGAGCCTTGTGCACTGGGTACGACCTTTATTGATAAACCTTGATGATTGTGTTAAGTTTTTGGCTGACTTTTATAAGTAGAATTATAGAGCACCCAATTTACTTATTTTTTATGAAAAAACAGCATAACTATAGTTTGGGTGTAGGGTTGTTAAATGCAAGTTTCTTAATGTTCATTCTTTCTTTTAGGTGAATGTAGATGAAAAGAAAAATTATGGATCTGGTGGTTTATACGATCAAATTTGCAATGCATGCTTACCAAGAGGGCTAGATCCACACTCAGTTCCATCAGAAGAGCTTGCTGCTTCCTTGGGGTAATCTCTGTTTGAAGTTGTGTATCCAGTGATGCTTTTAAGAAGGATGCTATTGTCGTATTTGATATAATTGCTATGTTATCTTACTGAGATTTATCACCTCTTGCTGAAAAAATGTCTTTGTTCCTCTTGTGTATTTAATATGCATTCCAAAGTTGAAGTTACCGTTATTAGTTAAATTCTATCCAGTTGGATCATTTTTAGCTAAGGTGATATCACATTTTACACGGATAACTGATCACTATGGTTGGAGAACAGGTACATGGTTCAACTCCTGAATCTTGTTGTTCAGAACTTAGCTGCTCCAGCACTTCATAACTCAGGTTTTGCGGTAAGCACTGTTTACCCTCCTGATGAACTTAAATATTCTATGAAGACCATATTTTGAATATCTTTGTTTTCTAGCTCTGTTGTTCCCAAAAACCATATTTACTAGGGACTAATGTTTGAGGGGTTTAAAAGTACTAATGATGATTGTAGAATTCATCAAAATGTTCTGAAAGTAATGGGGGGCTTATATATTTTTATTTTCTCAGAAATTTCCTAGTGTTTGAAATATATACATACAAAATAAAAGTGATTTATGTGTCAAATTAAATTGTTCATATTGTTAGCTTATAACATGCGTTTATATTTTTCTCAATATTGGGAAGACTTTTGGTTCGGGAGAAAAGCCTACCTTTATGGGATTGGCTACAGTAATCTGGTTTTACGTGCCGTTAGATCAAAATCTAACTGTTCTCCTTTAAAACAAGTTTAAACCTTGTGAAAAGTTAATTATACACCAAGTTGATAAAATCTAGTGAGAGGGTAACAGGTTGAATTAGGGTCTCACCCACTTCGCACTTTTGTTTATCAGTTCCACCACTTCTCATGCAGCCATATCCCATCTTCACCAGCAAAGCTGGTCGTCGTCATGCGGTCCAACAAGCTTGTAAACGTCACTCATGATGCAGCCCTTCACTCTCCTTTTCGATCTGATGGGAATATATGGGGTGGGGTATAATGAATGGGAGAGGGGCTTTTATAGTAGAATGGGACAGCATGCCAAACGAAGATATCGACTGTGAAACATAGGGTTTAGGGCTCAAACAACTTACGCGGTCGCGTGTTTACTTACGACTCAAAACAACTTAATTACTCAAACGCATGTGATCGCATAACACCAAGTAATTACTCAATACAACATCAAGATTAATTACTCAATACAACATCAAGAAATTTAAGCCTTTTTGTTGGGATTAGAGATTTTCGTTTGCTTCTAAATAACTTGTAATAGGAATTTATTAGGATTGAGAAGGTGATGGTGTTGAATTAAGAAAACCCCAACCCTAAACCCCAACACCGCTTGACCTATTTGGTGCATAATCTGTCTCCCTCTCTCCTTCTCTCCCTCTCTCTCTCTCTCTCTGCGCATAAACCTCAATCGCAAACGTACATCCCATTACCACCTGCTTCAGTGCTCCCTCACATCGAATCCAGGCTGGATATCGAAGAGGATACCTATGAAACTCTGAACGTGGAATCCAGGCCGCATTGAACAAGGACGAGCTTTGCTGTTGAAGATTGGCTATTGCTGTGGTGGGACCAATAAACAAAAGTGTGACACGAGTGGGACCCTAACTCAACCGGTTACTCTTACTAGATTTTATTTGGTGTTTTATTTAAGTTTTTCCGGAATACATTGTAGAAAAATTGTACTTTCATTGCGAATATTCTAGTGAGCATTTTATTTTTATTTCTTGGAGGTGGGCTTTTCTTCTAGAGAACCACTTGAAGCTTCATTAAAACTAGCCAATAAGCTTTTTGTGTAGTATTTATGCATTAGTTATACCTGTGTTTTGTGTTAAATTTGGATTGTCTTCAGGGTTCTTGCTCTAGGATATGGCAAAGAGATTCTTATTGGGATGCGCGCCCTTCTTCTCGGAGGTACTTTGGCTAGATATATTATATAACATCATTGACATGGCATAAACTTCACAGGCTGTTGACTGACAAATTTATATTGTTGCAGCAATGAATATCCCCTATTTATACCACGCCAAAATTATTGCTCCAGTAGTGGGGAAAATTCTTGGTCTGACAAAAGCTCAAGTAATAATTTTGGTGTTGATTCAATAGAATCTGTGAGGAAACCACATCTGGATTCTTCTGGTGGTAGCTTTAATTACACTTCCGCTTCTTCACACACTGTTGAAACGCACAATGATTTGCAGAGAGGGATTTCACTTCTTAAGAAAAGTGTCGCATGCATTACAGCGTACTGCTATAACTCACTATGTTTAGATGTTCCTTCTGAGGTATCTACATTTGAAGCATTTGCAAAATTGTTGGCCACATTATCTTCTTCCAAGGAAGTTCATTCTGTGTTCTCGTTAAAATTGGCATGCTCAAGGTACATTGTCCACAGCTCCCTTCTTTGTGAATTATGTTTTCTGTGTTTTCGTTTCAGTTTCATTGTGCAGATATGAAGTAATAACTGTTAGTTGTAAAAAAAATTGGACAAAAATGAAGTCCTGAACTACTGAGAGAGTTTTTTTTCTTGCGAAGTAATAACTGCTATCTAGTTTTTAACAAATTTTTGGACAATTTTTGCATCATTTTTTTGGGACTATAAATGTATTTTTTTAAATCTCAATGGCTTGTTAAAGAATACTTTACAGGCATGCTATGGATGGTATATAAACCTTGATTGGAATTTCGCTTTTAACTTTCAGGTCATGTAAGCAAGTTCAACAACTAAACAAATCTGTGTGGAATGTGGATTCGGCCATATCGTCAACCACTCTATTGGATAGCGCACATGCAATGGCACTAACGGTACATTTTTGGGCTAAAATCTGTTTCCTTAGGAGATCTTGGGTTCTTAGTGTACTTTTTTTTTTTTTTACTAATAAAACATGCTATTGGTTTACCCTATTTGTAGGGCTTATGCCCTGCCATGACCTCTTAAGTATATTCCTCTCTTTCCTATTCATATTCATAATACAATGCTCTTTTCTCCTTATGATTCCCCTCTCTCATCTTTCCTTCACCGCCTGTGATTGTAAAATCTTAGTGGTCTTTTCTTGCTGTATGCTGCCAATCTGTGTGTTGCTTGACATGATATGATCCAAGTTCCAACAAGGGGCCTATAAAGATATACAATCATAGAATCCTTCATTGGTGCCTAAATCTGACTACACACTTTAATACTTCGAAAACCCATAATTGCCTTCTTAGGAATGATCTTCTTACATAGCTTCATTGCTTTGCGTTTCTGCCTTGGGTTTTATTTGAGTTGGAAGCTGGCTGATATTATCATTGACGTCTTTTGACTCTTTTCACATAAATGGAAACAAGAAAGAACTTGGTAAGCTGCTGCTCAATGGGTGTAGGAATACTGCACTTGATTTTTATAGATTTTTCTTTCGCATTGCAGAAAAACTTGTATGAAAAAAACCTTCCAAATTATTCCACCACCTTTCTTAGCTCCACTGAGTTGTCAGATGGGAAGAATGAATCCCTTATTGAAGAATGGGATCTTGTGGAACGTCCTACTTTTCCGCCTCCACCATCACAGCCTGAGGATATTGAGCATTGGACACGAGCCATGATCATCGATGCTAAAAGAAAATGACTCAGTGCTAGAATGGGGTCTTTCTGCTCTCTGTAAGTTCACCGTTTGAAAAGTTCTCTTCACAATTTATGCTTGGAATTATTTGAATAGCCCTGTTGAACATCGACATTTTCACTGAACTACAGCTTTTATTGGTTTAGATTCATACTTTAAATTGAAACTGGTTAATATTGCATATGCACCAGTACCAGCCACTATATGTATGTCCTGAATACTAACCATTTCTTTTCTATGATAAGACGGTTTTTTGAGTATTTTTGCGCCTTCTTTTCTTCGTTTTCTGGCTACGATAAAGGCTTCCTTGAAATTTACTTTCCTTTGTTTTTTCCATACGGGGCAGGTAAATCAACGTAGACTTCATCAAAACGTAAGGCTGGCGGACTTACAGGCTTTTGTAACTCTCTTGCAGTGTTTTACTTCGAAATTATACATTATTTAGCTTGTAAATATAACTGATCTATTGGTTGTATTGTATATTCTTGTAAATTAATATCGATCGAGGAGTTTTTACTTTTACTATTAACAGTAAGATGAGATGAAATGAATCCCGAGTCATTTTTTCTTCGAAACTAGATATTATTGGAACGAAATGCCTACGAAATACAATAAAATTAGCTCAAACAGTTGTGGCACGGAAGTTTTCCCTATGAAAGAGTACAATGTTAAACAGCATTTGCATGGTTCATAAGTTGGAAAAAGACTTCTCTCACTTTTTCCTCTTCTTAGGGGGCTGAAGGGCCTCTTCCTCGTCCTCTTCTTCATCATCCTCCGGTTCATCCTCGTCTACAATTTCCTCCTCGTCCTTGACCTCGCCTTCATCATCGTCGTCACTGTCGTCATCATCTTCATTGCCTTCATCCCCATCATCCCCATCATCCTCACCGTCATCATCATTCTCATTGCCATCTTCCTCCTCTTCCTCTTCACCTTCTTCGCCTACTTCTCCGCCTTCTCCTCCGGGGCTGGCTTTGGAATTGTTGCTTTTCCGATTAGGATTGTCCCCAGCGCCTCCTCCGTCTTCCGAAGATAGCTCCTCTTCAGTGTCTCCAAGGCCGCCGTCACCGTTCTTATCTTCACCTCCATCTTTGTCACCATCAACTGCTTTGGAGTTGGAATGTTCACTCTCATCGTCGCCGTGACTTTTCTGTCCACAGGTGGTTGAGAGCGCAGAAGGATCCTGAAACCAAAGGGTAAAATAGCTACTCAAAACTTACAAGTTAAGAATGAATGGACCACAGGAATTCTTATAAGTTATTTTTTGCTAGCTAATACTAATGTGACCAACTTTCGGTCCAGTGGTAGTCGTTTTTTAAATATTGAAAAGGTTTCAAGTTCAAATATCCTTCATTGTCGATTGGTATTTTGCCACAATGCTCCAAATTACAAGAGTGTTTCATTTCTTTAACTCTTACAAGAGAAAATAAACGCTAAAATACAGACCTGTAATGTATATATCCTAGAAATGTCTCCGGTATTTACAAAACATGTGTTTGGGACAGAGTTGTCTGTGGGCGTGGGATTGATTATCAGTTGTTCATGGCTCCATAAAAGAAGGAGAATGATGGTTACTTGCGCGACCATATGCGTCGACGTCGACGGTAGATAGTTACTCACATAAACGAACAAACAAGTGTTCCCAAACGAAAATTAACTGTGAATTATTTGTGATATACGTATAATAATAGTAGAGGTAGCAAAGATTTTCTTAAAATTCAAAATCCAAACTGACATGACAGGTGCTGAGATAGCATCTGAATATTTTTTTATTTTAAGAAAAAACCTTATAACTTAACTTGTATGTGAGCCGTTGACTGCCATAACAAAAACAAACAAGAAGACACAGTATATCCTATGATCCTATCATCGTATTCTTCGCAATAATAAAATAACAAATAAAAATAGTGATGAAAAATAAAATCATAGAGCAAACTGGAAAGGAGAGTTTTATGTGATTTCGAATTTAAAAAGAAAAAAATATAACCAAAAAAATAAAAAAATAAAAAATAAAACTGAACTACTCACTTGAGGCAGAGAAAGCAAGGCAGAGGCGGTGAGCAGATTAGCAAGAAGAGCATCCCAGGCGCACGTTAGCAACAAGAACTGACCAAACGTAGCTTCAAGTAGTTGAACGGCAGCAGAAGCACCACGACCCGTCGACGTACGGCTTTTGGTCTCCATTTGTACGGACTCGACGACGTACGCCAAACGCCCTGTCAAGTTAAGCAACGATCCGGGCAGACCGTCAGATCTGTTGCCCCATCTTTGGCCCCACCGTTGGATCAGCCAGTACAATTACAACTTTTGTTTTCACAAATTTTAAATATATAGTAAATAAATAAATAAATAAAACGAACTGTAACTACTATAGCAGCCAGCCGGAGAGTTTCCGGGAAAACTAGGAAGGGAAGAAAACGACGGCGTCGAAGAGAGTGGTTACCTGAAGAGGGCTGAGAGCGACGTGGAAGTAGCTGGTACTGAATACTTTTGTCTGCTTAGAGAGAGAGAGAGAGAGAGAGAGATCTGAGAATTGTGAAGCTTGTTCGTAGCTGTTGCGGTTTGGTGAGAGAGTGTTGTTTGTTCTAAATCGTCACTACGTAAGCTTTGCGTTGGAATGGCTTTGATTTTCAACCGTTGGATTGTGATCCTGGAGAAAAAGGTTCTCTCTTTCTTTGTGTGCTAGAGGGATAGAGAGAGGGATTGGCGTAAAGTTGGAAATGATGAAGTAGGTTAAATTGGGGCAGCAGGGCAGTGGCACAGTGCCATGCTTATGCTGCCCGAATAGTACTAGTCAGACTTCTGATATATCTCGACCAATAAAAAAAAGACTTCTGATATATCGACCCAAAAAATTGGTAATCCATCAAATCAAGAATCTTTGTCGTTGAAATTTAATCCAACGGTTTAAATTATTATAACTTTTAAAGTGAACTTCTGTTTTTAGTCGTTGAATCAAATTTTAATGACACGGATAATCTGATTTTGTGGATTAGGAGGATCCTTTTCCCAAAAAATTAACATGCAAAGATATATAATAATTTATCCTTTTGTATTTGTTTTATTTTATAGCATTCAACAACTCTTGTGTATGAAATTTGAGTTTGAAATCTTTTTCGTTGAAATGGGAACATAATTATTCTATTAGACCAAAATCTCCGTAGATGAAAATAAAATAACTTCGAGCAATATATGTGATGACAGGGAGATAAAAATATGTTTACAATGCGTATATCCACGTATGATTAACACAAATTGTTTCTTATGATTAAGTTCCTTCGAAGTAAATCCAATTAATTGTTAAAGACTAATGAGTAATCGTGGTACAAATAGTTTTCATTTTTCAAGCTACATTATTGTTTACCATAGTTAAATGGGCGTGCTATAAAACAATAGTCCTTTGTGAAAAATATTTCAATACACAATCACACTATCACGTGTTGTTGCTGGCGGGTGTCCTAATATTTGGCACATATGATCTGTCATTATCTTAATTAGTTGGACAGGCTAATCATCAACTTAATTATCATTTTCTGTGAATTGGTAGCTTCTTCATTACTCAAGGCTCAAACCACTTTGTTGGAGCACTGGAAAAAGCAAAAAGAAAGAGATAATAGATAAAGAATAATATCATAATCTCAGCATTTGTCCGCACTAATCTCCCAAAATCTTAGAGACAAAGGATTCTTTTTGTGAAAGTGTCCAAATTCCACTGGTAATGTTTGTTCTAAAGGACTTCCACACTTTTATTTGATTCTTCTTTAAAACCTCCACCATATATAGAGATATGAGTTTTGCTCTCTCACACATTTTTTTTCACGTGTGAATGGTTGAGATTTAACTAAATTTTAATTACTTAAATCTCAACTGTTCACAACTGTGAATGATTGAGATTTAACTAAATTTTAATTAATTAAATCTCAACAGTTGTAAAGAAAAAAACCTTCTATTGCAATTTAGTTAGGGGGAGAACTAGGGTGGTGAATTGGGCTAAGTTGAAGAGTTGGGTCAATTTGTTGGGCTGGATATTGACAGATTTTTCACATAATGACCCAAATGATATACAATTAACAAACTCAGGGACCATTTCTCTCAATTTTCATTGTCAGAAACCAAAATAAAGAGTTATGCCAATCTCAAAGACCATTTTGGCTAAAAAGTTAAAAAAAAAAGGGTAAAGGACCTTGTTGATGAAAAAAAAAAGTGGATCAACTTAGAATAATGAAGTGAACCTCCATGGTCAATGGTAGATTCAGGATTCGAACCTTAAGGTTTCCAATGTTAAATGTCCAAGTTTTCTAGATAGAAACAGAGAGCAAAAGTCGAAACGCTAAAAAAAAATTCCAATCTATTCATTGAGGCATTTCTTCAGATACTTGGTGGCTTTATTGTCGTCAACCAAATCATGTTGTGCACATGTTAACAGATATCGACATATGTCAAAGCAATTTGATAAGTGATATCGAAAGGATTTGTCAAGTGTTTTTTACGCAACCTGTCGAGATATACCTAGCAAACATTACATCAAACACTTGTTGAGCACTAGAAGGACCTATCCAAACATTCGGAGGGTCCTCAAAAGACCTTCACATATATATTTCACGAATTCCAAGTGGTCCTGTAACTACCTTGATCCCAATGTACATCTGGCTCTGTCCATAATGGTGTTTCAGTCGTTTGGTAATTATGCCTCGGCAATTTGCAAGGAAGAAATGATAAGTATTGAAGAGCACCGGTGAGCTTTCGATGCTTAAGTTAGCAAAGAATAGAATGCCACATGGACAGATTGAGGGTAGAAATGACATTTTATTGGAAGAACGTACAAATCAATGGTTAGCCATGCATACTGAAACAAGTCATGGAGCAAGTGGGCTAATAATTGGAGGAAGAGAGGGCTCCCAATGGTTATGGATTAGCTAATGACCGGTTGCTGTGTGGAGTTGCTCTCCACATGTTGGGCTAAGCCAAGACCAAATTGGAATCCAATAGCTCATGTACTTGCTTTCATCTTGTTTCTGCACAACTTTCATTTAGTTATGTAAAATCTACTCCTACTTTTAACATGAGAAATAAGGAAGAAAAGAAACTTCCTTCTTATGAAACACACCAATTCTTACAAATGTAAAACTAAAATCTCTGCAATCCATAAACAAAAACAATAGATGAAGCTCAATCATGATGAAGGCCTGTAAAATCATAGTGAAGGAAGAACATGTAGAAACAGATGCTAGAAGGGAGCCGAACTGGTTCGCCGGAGTTGGTATTTAGGCATAGAATTAGGGTTTGAAGATAAGATAATTTCCACCTCCTGCAACCAAAAACACCAAGCAGCAGTAATTATAAATTTATCCAATCTGTCTTGCTTCCTTTGAGCTAGATATAATTAACACTTTGCTACTATATATATAAGTATAGTAGGGTTAGTTTCATTTAGCACTAGCGTAGTTTAGGGTATGTAACAATTTGGTCATTTATTTGAAATTTGAGGCTGTGGTGGTACCTTTTGCTTTTTGAGCCAGCTATTCATTTTTCTCAACCGGAATACTTCATGCTCCAACTGGCTGGTATAAGCCTAGATCATTATACAAAGGAATACTGAATATATAAGTGGCAAGTTTTTATTAAATATCTAATTTACCAATAACTGATAATGTTCTCTTGCTAGACTTATCTTGATAAACAAATGTTTAAATTGTCAAACTATGAATCTAGGTCACACATTTCAGGTAAAAATTAACATAATTAATGAGTCAGATTCACAATCTGACATATATAAATTGATAGTATGACAAAAGAACATTTTTTGAACTCTTAACTACACCATAAAACATGTGTAAGATTCAAGAAGTTAAACTTGAGTATAACCTGCTTTCTTGCCCTAGACCTGGCAGCTGACTCACGGTTCTTGATCATCCGCTTCTGCCTCCTTTCTATCGTTTTCTCCTTGATTTCATCAGAAAAATGGCGCTTCTTCTCAGCGGTTGCGTGAGATTCTGAAGACGATGCTGATATTGCAGGCATTGGAATTGACATGCCCACTTGGTTAAAATTATTCACAGTTGAGTTATCATACACTGATTCACAAACCTTGAAATTTGAATCCAGCATTGTCATTCGCTGCTGAACAGCAGACACTTGAAACTGAAACCAATCTGCCGGCTGCGACACCATAACCGCTGGATCAATACCCATAACCGGCTGAGCATTCATCATTGCATTTTGGTTTCCTAAGTTAATGGCGCCGGTGCGAACTAAAAAATGTTCAGGTGTAGCTGCTGTCTCCCTAATATTACGTTGGTGCAACGATTCGTTGGCTGCAGAATTGGCAAGCTCATGGTGAGAAATCCCCTTCCATACTTCATCAGCACTCTTCTTACTCAATGCTCCATTTAAATTCCCAAGAAAAAACGAAGTGGAAAAAGAGGAAGAATTAGGGTTTTGTAGCAGCTGCCCTTCATCAGCTGATATCACATTTTTAAGTAACTCATCAAAATGCATACCATTCAAGGGCTTGCTGCCTATATTTCCGAGCTGGCTTTGAACCCCATCCAAATTAGCCAGAGGAGGAAACTGCGGCCTCTCACCTCCATTTCCAGACCCCAAAGTCCTGTCATCCATTACTCCCAAGCCCAAATTTGATTGAAAATATTATTGGAGAACTTCTTAAAACAAAGTTATTCCCAATAAATTGTTCACAGTGGAGAAAATTAACAGTAGTGCATGCAATACCAATTAAGAAGCATGCATGATCAAATTTAAGTCAAATTTTTTTTTTCACTCAATCCAGAACACAAATATTAAATTCTTATATGTATATAGGAAATTGTAAAAGAATAGAAAAAAAAAAACAATTGTTAAGGAAAAACTAAAACCATGTGTAATGAGTTAAGTAGGACGGACTTATGGTGATCAGATTGTGTACAATGAAGAGTGAGGAGTAGAGAGAGCCGCATGAAGAATTTTTAGGAGCGAAATCTGAGCCGCCAGAAATGATCTGGATGAAGTTGATTTGTTGTAGAGGATGCTACTTTTAGAGAGAGAGAGAGAGAGAGAGAGAGAGAGAGAGAAGGTCATCAAGTTCTCAACAGCCATACCAGATTTTCTTGCTACTTTTGTGGGAGACCCAACCATCCACACACTTCCTTGTTGGAAAATTTGGCGGGATGGATACTACTTCTGCAAGGATTCATATACGATGACATAATGATAATTTTCATTGCTAAACTTAATTTTCAATACTACTTCTTCCAATGCCACCAATTCCCCCTAATAAATAACTATTTAACCCATTAAGACTATCGTTTGTAAAAAAAAATCAACAAAACAATGTAACTTATCTTTTAGAGTGTAGAAACCGCTCTTTGTCGATGCTTGATTAGAACAAAATTGTAGTTTTAGTCGTGTAATTAGTTCATTGTCCTTGAGAGTATATATTTCAATATAGCAGGTTATGTCACCCTCTCTAGGATACCACAATACTTGAGCTGGGTGAGCAGCTCGATTGTTCCTTTGATTTGAGAACTTCAAAACAAGCAAAGGGAAGAGCATATAGTAAGAAGTTCCAATCGTATAAAGAATACTGGGTCAATCTGAAAAAAAAGAAGGGTGGATCCCATATTCGGTATAGGAAAGAAAGATACATATAGAATAGAATGCTATTTTTCTTACACGTTGGTCATTTACTATGCATATAAAAGTTGGAGAATTAAAGAACAAATTGGCACATTAATAATCACTAATCAGATGAAGAGAGGAATGGTCGCATGAGTGCCACCATTTCAGTTCTAATGATTGTTTTGATGAACCATGAATAATAACACCAACATTATTGACTAGAATTTTAATTCAAATATTCAATAAATAAATAGATTTGAAGAAAAAGGAATCGTTACTATGAATTTCAACAAGCATTGTTTGTGTTTTGAAATACTCATCAAAATTCCAACACTTCTCTCTCTCCAAATTTCTACTTTAATTGCTTTTGTGGTTCTTTTTACCAAAAGTTATTTGGAAAAGGGCACATTCGATCACAAGACTCCGCGGTCCATGCTCAACAGTGGGCTTTCTTTTGGGTTATATTGAGAATTTAGTCCACCCACAAAGTTGGGTTTTCATATTTATTTGGCTGGTTAAGCCCAAAGCTCAGGACATTTGTGATAATTTTGGTACAAATGAAGGCTTACAGAGGAAGGCTCTTACAGAGCTCAGAACACAAAAACGGCTTAAACAAATCTGGGTGTAGCAACCCTCATACATATTCCTGAACTAAACCACCAACACCTTCGTGAGGAGCCTCAAAATTCCAGCACAGAAATAAATTAACAAATTTGAAATTAAATTATACAAAATTATCACCACCATTGATACGCTCAGGGTAAAATAGGTAATAGGAAACTTTTCAAGTTAATTTGTTTTCATGGAGTGCTGATCAAGAGTTTAATAAATCTTCTTACCAAAAACCATCTATGACCTATCTACTTGAGTGACACGTGTCCTTTTGATTTAATTTTTTTTTAGTTTTTAATTTTTTTAACTGAGAAGATAAATTAAAGAATTAATACTGTTAAGTGAGGTTAAATGAATGACCATGTTTCAACAAATGAGATATGTCACAGAGAAGCCACATAAAACTTTGGTGAAGAAGATTTGAACTCGCTAATCAATAAATTAAAATGGAAAATTACTAAATTTTGTGGACTCTTTACTTGAAATGTGGTATCGCTTTTAGGCTTACATTAAACTTTAAAAAATCAAAACACCTTCAAAGAAAAAAAAAAGATGAAGAAAGTCAAAAACACTTTTGAATTGGGTTTTCAAATTTATGTGAGTGATTGATCCCAAAATTCAGGCTACTCTATTTGTTTTCGTATTTAATACTGCAATCACAACATGAAATCCAAAGTTCATTATATTATAGTTGTATATGTTGTTGCTGCACCCCCTAACTTTCAACTTCATAAGAAAAAAAGGAAAAAATAGATTAAGTTATCCATTAGTTAAAGACTGTCTTTTCCTTTTGCCAACGTCGTCTTGACAATTTCACCACTCAAATTTTGCTTCTTTTTCTTCCAGGCTGAATTGCAATAAAAGTTAATACGAATATGGATAATGGGTGTTCCTCAGCTATGGCAAATACTAGTATATAAGTTTCCTTTCCTCAGTGTGATAATTCGTTAAGTTATTGCCCATAACTTTAAGAAAACACTTTAGCTCCTTTGGTTTTACATGATTTGTCTTGTTCCTTTTGACCCCAAAATTGCTCTAAGAAATGAATATGTTTCATCAATCCTATGCAACAAAAAAAAAAAAAAACATGGAAAAAATTTATCCTATTCACTTTTGATACAAAGAAATGCAGCTAAAATTATTTTGTTGCTATTATAGTAAAACTTTAGACACACAAATTCGCTATATTTATTGATACACTCTCTAATACACGTGGATCCTATCACTGTTGGATATATGTCAACAATCTGTGATAATTTTATATATGCTAATAAATAATAAATACGAATAAATATTGAACAGATTATGAACAACGAAATAATTTAAAACAGAAAGATTGAAGATCGAGGCTTGCATACCGCAATGTCCTTGAAACAAAAATTCGTCCCTACTCAGTGCTTGTAGTTCTACGGACGTTTGCTTCACCAGGATTCAACGTTCAAGTTAGAATGCCAGCATCAGAAAACTTAACTTCTGGCGAACTTCTGTGTGGTTCTCTCAGAAAGGATGTTTGAGATTGTAGAAGAAGAATATTTATTTTCTGAATTCTAAATGTCATGCAGATGGATGTATATATAATAGAAAGATGCTTGTTCGCAACAGGTATGAGAATGAGATGTGTCTGTTGGGAGACATCTTCTCCAGAGGGGTGCTTTACTCTATGTTCTTTCTGGACTCTTCAGACTTCATCTGAAAGGATGAGTCTGTTGGTAAAAAAATAATTAATTAATTAAATTCGAAATTAATTAAAAATAATTAATTAAATCTGAAAATAATTAATTAAATAATTAAATTATTAGAGCCCGAGCCCCAAGGCCAATGCCCATCTTTTGATAATTAATTATATTATATATATATATATATATTAATTATAATTAATTACCAATTAATTAGTGCACCCCAAAGCCCAACCCCAAGGGTGAGCCCAATTTTATTCTCCAGACCTATTACTCCAATCACTTTCTATAAAGGACAAAGCCTTATAAAGTGATAAAATCTTTTGAGAATAGCCAATGTAGGACAAAGAAATTTCTACTCAAACCATTCAAATTTCCAACAATCACTAGATGTGAATCTCACTTCTATAAAAGAGTGCATCAACACCTTACTATTGTTGTTGCTTTCTTTTTCTTTTTTACAGTATGAAATCACTACCAGGAATTATGGCTTGCCCTACTAAATCTTAGCCGACGGACATATTTGCCCAAAGGATAATTTTGTTAGTATGGCAAAATTAATCAACATATTGGGTTGACTAAAAGTATTTAAGCAACATACACATTTCGTAGGTTAAGAAATAGGTTGTTGGGGAAACTTTTGGCACGAAGAGGAGAACTGTTTAACCGACGAACCAACCGTTTGTTGTGTAAGATAAACTTACCCGACAAAGTTCTCCGTTGGGCAAATCTACTATTGGTGGTCAAAAGTCCACAACTAACATGTAATAGATCCCACCACCATGAAATTTGCTTGACGCTTACTTAATTAAGAGTTACTTGACGGAGTATTCATCGAGTAAAGATAGATTCATCAATTTATAAGTTTGTGCCTTCTCCTTCCTGTTTCTCCTCCATTGATTCATTCTCCTCTTTATACTTCGTGCGCTCCTATTCATCTTTCTCCCTTCTCCCTGTGTTCTTCGGTTCAAGACCATTGTTCCCACCACCCACACCTTCCCATTTGACCATTTTGGCACAAATTTATGAAAAAAACAACATTTGCAAAGGCATGACTAAAGGGTGTCCCTCAGTTATGGGAAATACTAATGTATAAGTTTCTTTTCCCGGGTGAAAATTCATTAAGTTATTGCCCATAACCTTAAGAAAACACTTTAGCTCCTTTGGTTTTATATGATTTGTCTTGTTCCTTTTGTTGCTCTAAGAAAGGAATATATTTCATCAATCCTATCCAACCAAAACAAGAAGAAAAAATCCAATTCACTTTTGATACAAATAAATGCAGCTAATTATTTTATTAGTATCATAATAAAATTTTAGACACACAAATTTGCTATATTTATTGATATACTCTCTAATTTAAGTGGATTCTATTATTATATGAGAATCTCACTTGTATAAAAGAGTGCATCAACACCTTACTACTGTTGTTTTATTTTATTTTTTTTACAATAAGAAATCCAAATTGTAGTTTAGTGCCACTTGATTTAGGCCTAGAGGAACCAAATCAAACCAATATATGGTTCATAAAGGCCTTCCTCTTGCACCACCGGAATAAGCATAATGCACACAGTACAAAAAGGTCAAAAGTCAATAGAATCAACCAAACATGTATGTTTGTTGTCGAACACCTTCCTTTTCTTTTTTTTTTTTTTTTTTCCCAAATGCTTCTATATTCCCAAATAGTAGTACCAAGTACCAGCATTGCTTAGATCA